AAGAAATATTTCTTTGCTATACGCTTACGGTTAAAGAAAAAATTTCTTTGATTTCCCTGGTGAAAATTTTTCTCAGAATTTTTCATGTAATTTTTCAGAATTTCTCTATAATTTTATAATTAGCTCATATTTTTTATACAAATTGGAATATTTCTCAAAAAATTTAAATCTTTTCTCAAAATTTTTCATATATGTTAATTATGAATCGTAAGATTTTTAAGATTTTTTATAAGTATAATTTCTGATGAAATATTATAAAGTCTAAAAAATTTAAAAATTATAGGATAAGAAATTTCAGAATATTTCAGAATTCATTTGTATGAAAAATTCTAAGAAAACATGTAAACTTTCCGAATATTTCTGAGAATTTTTGAATAATGTTCTAATTCGTATAAAAATTATGAGAAAAATTTTCATCAGGGTTAAACCAGGGTATTTTTTCGATTTGAACATAATTTCTTTAAATCAAATAAATTTTTTTATTTTATTAAAAAAAATAATGTTTAAATCAAAGAAAACGTTCAAATCAAAGAATTTTTTTCTTTAACTGTATAGCAAAGCAACATTTCTTTATATTGAAGAAACCTTTCTCTGGATGTGCACACACTGCGCATGCTAAGTATAAACTTTTTCCATACCACATATTCGATCAATGCTCTCTACTCCAATGCCAAGAAATTTTCGCATTCGCTTAGATTATACTGCATTACCATGCGAACTTTATGTTGTATTCCGCGAATAAAAATTGCACTAGACCGCAGCGCTAAAATTATATTCAGTAAAATAAAATGAATTGAATGTGAGTAAACCTTATTGTACTAAAATTTTTGACAGTGCGGTTTGATTTATTTAATCAAAATGGTGGATAAAATTTATATTCTGTAAGAATTGATAAAAATATGTAGTAGATTTACAGCACTGTTTAGTACTCACTTTATCTCAATTCAGTGTTATTATGCTACTTTAGTTTAAGGTTGCCTTAAGTTAATGCTGCACTGTGATTGATCGCATTTATCCCGAGACCATACTGCAGTATTGTATCAGGGCAGTACTAACCAGTAGTGCATTAGCCCGGATCCTCATGCGGACACCGGCGCTTTGACACTGAGTGCTGATTGGTGAAGAACGAGTTATGAAAGTAAAATTTATCCCTTTCACCTATTTTTCACCAATCATACTCGGTGTCAAAGCGTCGGTATTCTACATGAAGATCTGGGCTTAATCTATAGACTTTTGGGGTTTTGAGCCCCAGAAAGCCAAAATGTCAGGGGCGCCACAATAAAAAAAATTAAAAAATTAAATTATTTAAGTGCATCTATAATTTTGCGATTTTTGTAAAATCATGGAATAATCAATAAATAATAATTCTATTAACAGTATAGATATATACTTGAGTCTCATAAATCTTCCGCTTTTCTAATATGATAATAGATTAGTGATATAATTTACATTATATTTGTTGTACATTTTTAGTTCAAGTATAATTCAATAAATCTTGGCTTTAACTACCTCTGGCCAATTGTCTACGTTTCAATCACACACACAAGTGTATTTAAAATATTATTATAATTTTTTTACTGTTTAATCCATTAGGGGAAGTGGAATCACTCGAAGATCACACCTAGTTGGGCGCACATTTCATTAACGCGACTCTGGTATTAATACAGAATCAGTGCAGGCTACCGAATTCGCTATACCTAATATTGGTATTAATATAAATTGGCAATAGTATTGAATCTATTTCTAATCAATACATCCGGTAAAAAATTTTTGATGCGTAAATATGTATAAATATGTATAAACATACATAAATACGCATAAATGTTCATAAACATGTACAATTATATATGAAATATGTCTATACATACAAATATGTTCATACATCCTTCTTTCTTTCGTAAAATTACTTTTTAGTGTAATAGAAATAATAATAGTAATATGAAAACATTAAAAATAATTAAAAAGGTAATTCTCGTAACTATTTGTTTTAGAAAAAATCAAGTTTGAAGAAATGTAAAAAAATTATTTATATATAATTA